ATCTCCTTGCTGCGGTAAGCAATTGTTTCTGGTCGATCTGTGCCCAGGATCTACCAAATGCTGCCACCATTGCCACCCTTCAAGATAATCTCAATGACCCTGTCCCAATATCAAAATATATGTCACTCATGGCCAAATCAAGCAAAGGAAACATTGGTCAATCGTCTCGATATTGATTTTTATTCTCTTCATATCCTTTCTGGCATTGTTGAAGCACCTATTATATCTTATATTCCTTTATTTTCTATTCCCCATCTCTGTTAATGACTCCCACGTGCTGTATATTTTAGGGTTGAATAAAAAATATATATGTAAACAACATAAAAATATAGTATCTTCCAGAGCGTTTGGTAGGATTAAAGAAAAGTGACATAAAATTGGATTCCACCATTAACAAGTGAGTATTAAGTTGATAGTGGCGATCCAGTTTCATGGTCTAACAATTTTCATGAATGAATTGTTTGTAATTTTTTTTTCAATTCACTCTCTATTAAAAAATATGACATTGATTTTGATTGGCTGTGACATTACTTGTTAGAAGCACTGTACTTCTGCAAATTTGTCAAACTTGTTAATGGAAATGAGGGATCTAGGCGTTATCCGTTACAATATAATTTCCCTTCAAATTTTCATCAAGGTCCATTATATCAAGAAGCGCATTCATGAATTTAACGAAATGCGCAGTAGTCGTGCCTTTTGCTACTGGTTTATTATCAGTAGGATCTTCAAACTCTGGATCCTCTACATCAACTTCAGCTACAATTCTTTTTGTTCCACTATTAGCTTTTCTCTTTTTACTAATAGATTGCTTTTCTTTTCTTGGTGGAGGTTTTTTCATCACAACATGAACAACACTAGATGAATGGATAGCACCAATAACAGTATGTGTTATCGCTCTAGTTTTTGGTCGTTTTACTATAGCAGGGCTACCCTTTTTTGATCTTGCCCAATTATTTCTCATGTTAATGTGAAATCCGGCTTCATCAATGAAAACACAATTCTTTGTAAAATCAAGATTAGAGTCCTTCCATTTTGTTTTGATAGCAAAAAGTTAAAGAAAGAGAAAAGACAAAAGACAAGTCTGTGAAAACTTCGTGTAGTTTTTTATTAAGAAAATAATACAAAATTGTACAAGGAAAAATTATGTGAAAATGTAAAGGGTTATTTATATGTTTTTGCAAGGTAAGTGATATTAATAGAACTATGATTTGGATAAGCAAATATTGCTATAATAAAGCATTAGTCATAAATATTTTCTCCGAATAATTCTGCCTACAATAAAATCTATTTTTATTCTTTTCTGCCTGAGCTGTCGCTGTTACTAAAAATATTAAATTATTATTTCTGGGGTGAGCGACGCGTCAATATTAATTCACAGTGAATATGTCAGCTATAGCAATACCAATTATTTATATGCTACTATTATTATTATCCTATAAGATATTATTACATAACAATATTTATCTTTATAGCTCTCTATATATAATATGTATGACTTATAAATAATTATGTAATTGAATATAACAGTCATAATCCTATTGAATTATTATTATTACATAATATAATGTATATAATTATTTTTAATGCTCGAATACTCTAACAATGACTATTATCAAAACTGAGAGTAGAATGAATATTATGCTGTGAAGCGCGATATATTAGTTTTATTTGAATAACCTCTTTATTATGTAATAAATGATGGTTTATTTCTATTAACTTAATTATAAAGGCTACTACAATCACAACACATTTCATAAACCACTCAAATCTTGTCTCCCTGTTTTCTGGTGAATTTCTTATTTCAGGCTCAAACAATGGTTTCTTGATAGTGATAAGCATTGTATTACGTAAATGATTATTTAGTTGCGACTTAGAGATAGTGAAGTCTTCAAATTGTTCAGTCAAGCTCTTCATAATATCATCCGAAAATAGTTGAGGATCGTTATCCAATAGACCCTGTAGATACTCGTTATGTTTAGCAGTGAACGAGCTTTTAGGGCCACTGTTTTCTTCGGATTTCTTATATGGAATCTCCTCTGTTTCTTTATAGCTATTCCACCATCTTAACGCAGTGCAATAATTGATATTTAGGTCATTTGCAACCTTAGTCACCAACCCACGTTCTTCAGGCTTTTCAATCATACGATCTATAAACGTCTCTCTGGTAAAGTCGCTATAGTTTTTGTATGATCTATCCAAATCTGGTACTTTAGTCTTCAGTTGCTTTTTAGGAGGAGACTCTTCAACAGTTTTCTCCAGGCGTTTAACACTTAAATAGGTTTTCTGGCTAGTAATTGTTTCAAGAATTACATTCGGATCATCAATTTGTGTAAGAACATCCTCCATCGGATCGTAAACGATTTCTCCTTGCTCATTATAAATGTTGTCTTGTCCATCTTCATAAAAAAATGTGCTCATTGTTAGAAAATGTTTTTAGTAGAAAAAAAAATAACAAAATTCAGTAACGAAGAAAAGGGACAATATTGTAACTTAACCGCCTAATTTAATTACTTGGCATGGACAAAAAGAATTGAGCATGTGACATTTATTTTTCAATTTCCGCCAATTATTTTTGCCTTTCGGTTAATCATTTTTATGAAAGTGACAATTATTTTTGTGAAAACGCCAATTTCCATAGGTTTGACTGTATCAAAGTTGGAGATGCTAACAGACTCATTGTTAGCATCAACAACAACGGAATCCAACTCATCTTCGTTTTCTTCAACATTCTGAAAATTAAAAACTATTTTTATACAGTAATGTCAATGTTAATTCAAAACATGTTGCTATACGTTATACATTATTATTCATTTGAAATTGTTGTTCTTACTTTCAGCATAGTTGACAGGTGCAAGCATTTTTTTTTGTTTTTTTTCGTGCTTTTTAAATGTATGACGGTTAACCAAACGGTAACCGTTTACATTCTTACGACATTCGTCGCATTTGCACATCTTTTGTTCATTTTTAGTAGTAATTTTAGGCATTTTTTAATATATAATAATTGTTAAAATTAACAACAATGAAAAAGAAAAAAAAAAAAGAGCAGGATTATTTACTAGTTCCGCGTAAATAAATTCAACTCAAGATAAACTTTGACTGTAATTAAAATTAATGCATGTATTAAAAAAGTAAACTCACATGATATTACGAACTATGTTTCTTTATTTTCTTTGAGATAAAAAATGTATATTAAAAGTAATGGTGAATCCAGTTTGAATTACTAAAGCTAAAGTCAAAAATACTAATCATCAATAAATATTTATTTTGATTTTATT